AGAGCGACTACTCGCTTCTTAACTATTTCCGGTTCATCTTTTCATAATAAATAAAAATTCCAATTTTTTGTCTTTCCTTTTACCTTTTACCTTTTACCCTTTACCTTTTACAATTTACTTTTTTTAAATAATAATAATAATAATAATAAAATTGCGGGGATGTTATAATAATTGTGGCCAATGCAAATTTAATGCAATCAAATGACGTGTTCGTCCTTCTAAATATTTTATCGAGGTTGAATAATTTTTCTTTTTTTTGCTTTCTTGTTGTTGTTGTATGTGGGACAGATTAAATAAAAAAAAAACGCCATTTTTTTTTCTTTTTATCTACTATTAAATACGAAAAAAGAAAAAAAAAGAATAAACCCACGTTCGTTTCCTTGTTGTTGTGTGCCGGGCCCGAAATACAATAGGAAAAAAATTAAAATCTATTATTATCTTTCGAGAAAAAATTAAAAAAAAAAAAAAAGGCGATCATTTTGAATAATAACAAAATTGTATTTAAAAAAAAAAATTTGTACGTGAATTTTTTTTCCATTTCCCAGTTTAAAAAAAAAATTACACAACATAAAAATTTGTTAAAACTACAAAAAACCGAAAACTTTAATAAAAAAATATTTTATTCTGCATAGTGAAAATTATAAATAATAATAATAATAATAATAAACATTTGAAACCTTTGACCTTTGTACGAACAAACGATACATATATTTTTTCTCAAAAAATTTTTTTTACAAATCGTCACATGGATTACTTACATCCGCCATAACATTTTCAAATTCAACAAATTAAATTATCAACAAATAAATTTATTTATTTATTTATTTATAAATAAATAAATAAGTACTTAAAAACGGTATATTATTAAACGGTAATAATAATAATAATAAATTTTTTTTTTTTTCCATTAAATTAATTCATGTGGTCATTTTTGAGGTTTGTTGTTGTTGTTGTTGTTTATAAAAAATACATTAAATAAAAAAATTTTTTTTTTTTTTATTAAAATTTGAACGGTTCGCGGTTTGAAAATATGTTAATCAAACCTGACTGATAAGTATTTTGAAAATTTCATCCAATAATTTTTTTTTTTAAAATCACATTAAAATTCACACTAAAAATATGATAATAATAATGATGATAAAACTAATTATTTCTATACTAATCAATGAACCTTGCCGTTATTTTTTATTATTATTATCATTATTATTATTTATTTTTATTTTTTTTTTTTTTTTGCAGTAAACGTTATTCATTGGTAGATCACTTTGCCAACCTACATCCTAACGACTTCTGTGATGTAGTTTTTCCAAATAACGGTAATTTGGTAGTCTTTTATTATTATTATTATTTTTTGTTTTACTTTCTTTTTAATACACAAATAAATAAATTTTTTTTTTTTTTTTTTTAAATGTTTTTCAAATTTTCTTCTTCTGTTTGAGAACAAAAAAAAAAAAACCCGAATCATACAAGAAGAAGGGGAAAAAAATTCTTTAACAAGCAATTATTAAAATTTCATTATTATTATTATTATTAATCACCGGCATATTCGAACCTTAAATGTACGCACACACGCCATATTGATAAATTAAATAATTATTCATTTTATAAACAATAGCATTATTATGAACTTTCAACCTTTTAAAAAAAATATACATTTTTTTTTCTAATTCTCTCTCTACTTACGACGTCATCGATATGTGCGTAATATGCGTAACGAATAATAATTTTCAACATGTATGTAATTATTAATAATAATAATAATAATAATTCGACACACAATAAACCCAATGACCTCATTTCATATTATAACTGGAAAAAAAAAACGGGATAAACAAATGAAAAATGTAAACAACGCCAAAGGATATACGGATTAAGATTATAGATCAGCTGTTTGATCTGACCAAGTGAGTAAATCTCCTTCCCCCACCTCCCCTTTCCCCCCTCATCCTCCTACTACTTTTAGGTAGTTGCTTAGATACGGCTTCATTCTTCGTGACCGATTGCCAAAGGGTGAAAAAAAAAAAAAAATGCGTTAAATTCTTTTTATTATAGTGTCAGGTTCAACAATTCAAACGTTTTCTGCAACATTCATGTTCATTCTCATACAAACACCGTTAAAACAACAACAAATTTTTTGTTCTTAAATAAATTGGTTATTATCATGTTGTTGTTGTTGTTGTTGTTGTTGTTTTTCACGTTTTAATTATTTAAATACATGATTAAAAACACAACACTTTTAATTTTTTTTTTTTTCTTTCGTATTTATATTTTTATATTTTGTAACGAATATAAAAAAAAATTATTGTTAATAAATTATTATTATTATTATTTTCAAATAAATAAATAAAAAATTAAAAGTGATAAGAAATATTTGAAAAAAAAAAAAAAATATATGAACCCGGTAAAATAATCGCGCCTAAAATTTATTATCAAATAAAAAATGACCGACTTTTTTTTTTTTTTTTTTTTTTTTGGTTGACCTTTACTCTGGGGTTTTTTTTTTTTTTTTTATTAGTGACTACGTGCGAATTAAAGGGGGGGAGAAATTTTAATTTTTAAACCTAATCATTATTATTATTATTATTATTTATAAAACACAATAACATTCACCGCGAGAAAATCAAAAATATTTTATTTACAAAAAAAAAAAACAATGATAATGATAATTTATTAACGCGGGGAGAAAGCAAATAAAAAAAATTATTATTATTATTATTTTTTTAAAAATTAAATTAATACGTGGACGCTAAAAAATTTGGCGCGCAATTTTTTTTAAAATTTAAAATACAAAAAAAAACGGTTTTAATTTTGTTTATCACGTACAATTAACTTTAATTAATTGGAATTTTTTTTTTTTGCTTCATGTATGTTTTCAAAAACATAAACAACATGTATTTATTATGTAAAACTATTAAATCCAACAAACAACAACAACAACATCCGTTCGATTGAAATCCCGGTTAATAATATAAATGATGTAAAAAAAAAAAATATTTTAATCGGAGGAAATTAATTTATTTTATTATATTTCTATTGTATAGTTAAATAAATAAATAAATAAAAATTAAATTGCAAATACTTTAAATTATTAATTTAAATACCTAGAAATCCCATAAAATTTTTTTGTGTGTAAATCAACCGTAATCGGCACGAATTACAACAAAGAAATTTTTTTTAAAAAAAATCATCTGTGGGAAAATCCATTTGGATAAAGAAAGAAAAATTAATAAAGCTGAAAAGCCGCCATGACAGTTAATTCCGGCATTTTTTTTTTAAATTCTACAAAAACCTCCCCCTATTCCCACCCCAACCACAAACCTTAGATTTTAATCGTTTAAACGTTTATTTTTGTAAGACTTGGGGTAAATAAAAAAAAAAAAACCTAATTAATAAATTTTCTCAAGCCAAATAGATTAAAAGTAATCCTGGAAAAAAAAAAAATCAGGTTCGCAATCAACACAACCTAATTAAATAAATAAAACATTTTTCTCATTTTTTTTTTTTTTTTTTTGAGAAAGAATAAATGAAGATAATGATGATTAGTTTAAAACCTGTTATATGTATACAATTCCCAATCAATGTGTGTGTCAATAATAATAATAATAATATTAATAATAATAATTTTTAAGGAAGAAAAAATAAATAAATAAAAATTTACCTTAGTTTCGGATGTCATAGGAACGCGAGATGAATCTGAAACAAATCAAATACGTATATTTTTTTTTAATTACACATAATATACATTTGTTATTAAAATAATAATAATAATAATAATAAAAACAAAACAAGGTTCAAAATATATGTGGTAAATTGTAATATCATTATTGAACATTTTATTACGTCAGTTATTAAATTATCATTATTTCATTTTATCGTAAATATATATAAATAAAATATTAAATAATAAATATTATCAATTATATTTTTAAAACATAGGAAATATAAAACGTTAGTAACTAACGTAGAGTTAAAAAGGAGATCATTAGTATGAATTAGTATGAAATTGTAATCTATCTAATAAATAATTAATCAATCAAACATGGCGGCGGTGATAATTATTATTGAGAGAAAATTTCGTGAGTTACAAATTATTATTATATAATTAGAATAGTGTAATTAATTATTATTATTATTTTTTTTTTTTAAATTTCAAAAGTTCAATATTCAAGGTGAAAATAACAAACCATTTTGTTTAAACAAAAATGTTTTAAATGATAATAAATAATATTATTATTAAATTATGTACGCCATATTAAAATTAAACGCGAAAAAATTTTAAAATTTTTCCAATTCGGATTTGTATGAAATAAAATAAAAATTATTACGTAATTATTTGATTCTAAAAAAAAAAAAAAATCCAAAAAAGAATACAATAATAATAATAATAATAATAATAATAATAATAATAATAATAATAATAATAATAATAATAATAATTGTTAAACATTTATTATAAATAATAAATGTTACGAAATAAAAAAAATGATAAAGCTAAATAATAATAATAATACTAAATGAATTGTGAATGAATTTTTTATAAAAAAAAAAAACATTTAAAATGAATCCCACACGATTTGGTTTTTATGTTTTGCCATTTTTTTTTTTTTTTTTTTTTTTTTTTGTTATAAATAATGGCACTGACAGAAAATTAACAACAATTTTCATTTCGATTGTTTAATAAATTTTTATTTTTTTTAATGGGATAACAATAACAACAATATCTAAAGTTAATAATTTTTTTTTGCGGTTTATTTTATTTTTAAAAAAATGTAGAGTAGAAAAATCTCGAGTATTAAATAATCATCGAAATGATAATAATAATAATATTGATGACGTAATTATGTAACATAAAGACAACTCCTAAATAAGTTTAATAATTTTTATTTTGTTATATTGAGGAAAAATTTCCGAACGAAATAACATTTTCCATTGAAATTTTCAATGATGGGGATGATAAATTCAACACCATCACCACCACCACCACCACCAACAGACATCAACCCTTTCATATATTAAATAAATATAATTAATGTCATTGGCATAAAACCTTAAAAAAAAAAAAAAACTTGTGAAAGTTCGACATTTGTCAGTTAATAGAAATTAATCGACCTTAAACACTCATCATGTTACATATATTAATACATAACACATATAATAAAATATATATATGTACATAAATACTTTCATTTAAATTTAAAAAAAAAAAAAAAAAAGAAAAGGGCCTGTTTTACAAAATACATACTTGTATACTCGAGAGAAACGAAGGTAAGTGAAAAAAAAAAACTTTCAGAGGTTCAAAGGTTATTGCAAAAAAAAAAAAAAATGAGGGCAAATTTAAAAAAAAAAAAAAACAAAGAGAGAGAGAAAGAAAATTTCTCTTAGCCTTCACATGATAAATCAATAAATTATAAATTTTTTTTTTTTTTTTTTGATTTAACCAATCCAAAACAACCTTTTCTATATATAAAACAATATATCATATTTTAAACTTGATAAATAAATTCATGTTATCATTATTATCATCATCATTATTATTATTATGAAAATATTTTGATTAGAAATTTGTGCAAAAAAAAAAAAAAAAAAAGAAAAATTTGCACGAATAAAATAAATTATTATTATTATTTTTAACAGCTTTCTTTTAATAAAATTTTTTTCAATAAACAAGTTTACTGTAATAAATAATAATAATAATAATAACAAACAAATGACGAAAATATTATTAATAATAATAATAATAAAGTTCATTTACCTAAAATGATAACGTTAAATAATTTAATTTTTTTTTTTTTATAAATAAATTAATTGTTAATGTTTTGTCAATGAAGGATTTTTAATATATAAAAAATTAAATTGTTAATGATTAATTTTAATAACAATATATATGTATATCATTAATAATAATAATAATAATAATGATTTTTTTCTTAAGACTTAGGCCTTAGGCTTCATACGAGTAATTTATTTAGATAATATTAATTAATTAAAAAAATATATATATGTACTGACATTATTGAATTAATTCTCTACTGTTGTCATCATTATTATTATTAATATTATTATTATTGTAATAAAATGAGAGAGAGAGAGAGATAGATAATTTTTTTTTTGTAAGGAGTGTGTTTAGTAGTATAAACTACTGACCTTGAGTTCCTCCCCTTGCGAATATCGTATTTGAATGTACCTGACCATCTCTGTGAAGTAAAACATGATCCAACTCCGAAACTAATAAACATGTTTCTCTTTCGTTTCGAATTGAATTTTTAAAACATTTTGAACACTGATAACACAAAGCCCAAGCATGTTCTTCATTTATAGGAGCATTAAATGATATTAATATATTTTTTAACGTTATGCACCCGTTTCTATCTAAAAAACACCGCTTATCATTTTTCACTTTAACATCTTCCGCCATTTTACTTTTTTTTTTATTATTATTTTTATTTCTATATATTCTATTATTATTTCACTTTAACAATTATCACAAATTTATATTTTGTACTAAAACTCAATGTATTATTATTATTATTATTACTGAACAATAAATAAATAAATAAATAAAAATCAAAATTATTCACATTATTTTATGCTCTTTACATTTAACTTATCATCATTATTTTTTTTTTTTTAAAACTTTTTGACTTTTTTTTTAATATAACGAATCAAATGAACATCATCTACATATTAGAATTAAAATCGGAGGATTTATAAATAAACTTTGAAACATTTTTATTATTAAAATTTAAAAAAAAAAAAAAAAAAAATTATTCTTTTAACATAACAATGCAAATAATGAATGACAACATTATTAAATTGAAACAAATTCAAAGTCGAGCAAAGCAATAGTCAAAACTGTAAAAGACTTTTTTTTATAATTTAAGTTGACAAAAAAAAACATTGAATTTGAATTTTAAAAACCATCTATTTAAAATTCTCATAGTGGCAGCACCTGTCATGAAATTTTTTTCTTATGCGAAACGAGAGACATCTACATTTCGTTTATGTAACTATAATTAAAAACAAAAAAAGTACTTGTTGGAATTGTTAGTTTTTTGTTAATAGTTTATTAATTAATAAAAGATTATATTAATCGCTTGTTGTTTAATTTTTTAAGTATTCGTGAGGTTAGGTACCGATAACACAATTTGACATAGGTTTTTTGTGGTTTTATTAAAAAAAAAAAGAAAGTTTTGTGTCACATTGTCAAAATACTTAATTGAAATGATTTACAAAAGGATGTTAATAAAACAAATGAATTACAATTATTTTAATTGTTTTTTTTTTTTTTTTAAATATTTTATTAAGATGTTTGCTATTAATTAATACTCTCGCAAATAAAACAAATGTGTAATTACTGCTAGAAAATTATTAAAAAAAATTATATATACATACAATGTATTCTATGAACATTTAAAGTAAATAAATATTATTTTACATTTTATTATCGGAGAGAGAGTATTTTTCTTTTTCAACAAAAATAATTATAAATAAGCAAAATAAATAATTTTTTTCTTATTTTAATATTAAATAGTTATCTTACTCTCTGAATTATTGTATTTAATTTATTCAACATAATATTTTTTTGATTATAATGTGCAATAAATTAATAAGTGTGATTAAATTGAAAAATCTACATTTTCATTAACAAATGAAATATAATAAAATTAAAATAAATGGAATCAATCATAAATAACTATTAAATAAAATGCACAAATAATCGGAATAACAAAGACATCAAACATTCTCAGTAATATTACAATAAAATTTATAAATTATATTTGTATAGCAAAAAAAAAAAAAAAAAATTATATTATTATTATTATTATTATTATTATTATTATTATTATTATTATTATTATTAACTTTATTCTAAATAACAAATATTTGACATACTTACAACTAAAAAAAAGCATTAATCATTTATTTATAAGCTTTCAAATAAAAAGTTTTTTTATTACAAAATTATTTTATTTTTCTTTTTTCATTGTCCATAGGGGGTCTAATAAACTTAAAGGATCATCTGAACTTGGATTGTTTGTTTCTTTATCAAAACCTTTATTCATTCTTTTATTAGTACTTTTTTCTTTTAATGATAAATTACTCAAATCCAAATTGAAAACATTATCGGGATTGGATGGAGAAGTTTTACCAGTTGATGACGAATTGGATGCATTAACTTCACTTGCATCATTTACACGATCGGAATTATTTTCTTTTATATCTATAGTAAGAAGAAAAAAAAAAATAGGAAAATCAAAAATTTTGAATTTGAATTTGAATTTAAAATCTACAAAAAAAATCTTGCCTTTTTCAGAAAAATTATTTTGGTCAACAGAATCATTATTTCCTTCGGAAACTTTTGGAAAATTTTCCGGAGTATTCCGCGTTTTATTTAATACAACTTCATTTTTCTTACATTCATCTTGATTAAAACGATTTTTTGATATTCCATCTAAAAAAAAAAAAAGAAAAAAAATACGATTAATAATTATTATTCAAAATAAATAATTTTGAATAAAAATAAAAGTTTTACGAATACGACACTAACGTTTCATTAATAAATTTTGACAATAGTGTAATACTGATTTATAAGCAAATTTAAGATGTTCTCTATCCCGAAGACAATTTTTTCTAAAATGACACATTTTACCCGCCAAAAAAGACAAATCGGGGATTTCTCTACCGGCTCGAATCTCTAATATAGAAGCAATCAAAAGACAAAATAATCCGGTTCGACCCACGCCGGATGTGCAATGGACAACAATAGGATGAACCATTGATCTCTGTTGATTGAAAAAGCTGATGCACTCCTCAGAAAAAACTATGAAGGGATTCGGCGTTTCAGGAAAGGAACTGAAAAGCAAAAAAAAAAAAAAAAAAAAATGAATGAATGAATGATTAAAAAATTTTTTTAAATGCATTCCCAAATCCGAATTTTTTTTTCAACGAACCTTCCTGGCCATGCGGTAAATTGCAAATGAATTACAACTCGAGTTGTTTTCGTATCGTGAGTGTAAATGGATAAAATACGTTCCACCCAATTCGAACGGGTATTGCTGCTTTGAAGTGAAATTATTAATTTACCCATTTCTAATTTTTGTCCTCTTTCAACGGGCCAATAACAATGTCCATTTAATTCCAAATCACTTAACAAACAAACGATTATTTCGACTTGTTGCTCTATCACCATGGTCCAAAAATCCGCGTATGTGGATGGAAGAGGTGCTTGAGTTAAAATAAAATTCGGACTCAAATTTGTCAATTCCTAATAAAAATATTTACATTTAGTTTTTTTTTTTTTTTTTTTTTTTTTCATTTGCAAAATGATTAAAAATTAACTTACAGTCATCCGGGATGCGTTTATGTAATCATCTTTTGTGGAGGGTAATTCAACCCTTGAATCATCATATGGTAAAATATCGGAGAATCTATTTTTCATGGGGTAACATCGAGCAACGGATATTATGTGAAGCGGACTAATTTTTTCCTTAAAAATTAAAAATAAAAATGAGTCAAATAATTATTTAACAAAAAAAAAAAAAATAATAATAATAATAAAAATTATAATTACCTGTAAATCTTTTATTTCTTTCCATTTTAAATCCAAACTTGTTGGACCATTTAAAGTTTTCGTCGTCAATCCTTCGACAAATTTTTCATATTTTTCAACATCTTGAACAAAATTCATAATATTTTCTTTTTTTATATAATTATTCTCTTTTGGATTTAAATCCTTTTTTAAATTTAATTTTACACTAGGCTCCGGTTCGGTTTGTTCCACAACAGTTTTACTCTCTGTTTTTATTTTATTCTGAACGTCCGGGCATTCTTTTTTCTTTTCATCGGTGGTGGACGCAGTTTCCGGTATGAGAGGTAGCTGATTGACGTCAATATCCAAACCGGCTAACAAATCAACATTTGATGAATTTGTTACCGGTGAGCTTTTTGTTTCTGAATTTGTAAAAGTCATCGTAGTGACTGCTTGTTGTTTTTCAACTCCTGCTTGCATGTATGTTACAGGATTGCCATTTATAAAATTGTTGTCCGATTGAACTCCGTATGCTCCATATTGATTATTGTAATATTGAGTTCCTTGATAATTCCCTTCGTGAATATCCGATGTTTTATAAACGTCTGAATTTGTTATAACGTATTGAGCGGGTGTTTGAGAAGCTGTGTACACACTCTCGTTACCAGATTGCAAAAATTGAGAGTTTTGTTGGGGACCATATGAATTCTGCATAGCACCTGATGAATTATCCATATAAGGCTGATATTGAACTGGAACATTGTTTTGCTGGCAATCGAGACCGACGTTGGCTGGATTTACTTTATACAAATTTGAAGAATATGTTTCCGATACGCGGGCATCCATTGAATTGTTATAATTGTTAGTATTAGCAGGAGTTTGATAGTTACGTGAAATATCATAACTCGGTAGTTGTTCTTGCTGAAAATAATTTGCCCCAGTTGCAACGGGTAAAGAAGAATATGCTCCCGAATATGTTCCTGCATAAGAATTATTGAAACTGGGGACTTGGTCACATGTCATGGACCCATATACAGGGGCCTGTTCGGAAACAAACGAATTATAAGTTCCTTGAGGTTGACTTTGTGGCAAAACATTCATGCTGTAAGAACTGGAACCGGAATTCGAAGGGAATGGCGGATGAGTTTGAGGAAGGGTAGAATTAAAATTTCCCGGCGTGTCAGATTTACTTTCGAACTGTTGAGGAGATCCGTAGTTTGTAATCGCTTCCGGCTGCTGGTTGTAATTCAAGCAGGATTTTTGAGGGTCAGGGTAAGTATTAGAAGAAGTTTGATTAGGGTAATCGTAATAAGGAATTTCATTAGTATTGGACCCGAACATAATAGGTTCTGAAATTACAGAAGGATTTATATTTGTGGAAGGTGGAGTGGCTGTGGATGGCCTACATGGTTGTTCATTGGGATTATTATAACATCTATTAGGAGAGCTGTGAACATTGTAATAATTACTTTTTGGCTCGTACATGCCCTGACCTTCTACTTTAGGTAAAACGGTAGAATACGACGAAATCGGATATGTATCTTGATTAGATGTAAAAGATGGATTTTGATTGTAATTTAAATAAGTATTTTCAGAAGTGCTCGGTGGTAGAAAATATTTCAACTTTTGGTCAGCATTTTGAGGAGCTGAATAAAATGAATTATTCCATACGCGGTCTTTTTCTTGATTTTGATAAAAACCGTGAAATGAATCGATCAGACCTTTGAAAGCTGCATCAGTTTCTTCAGAACCCACGGGAGCTGGTCTGATTCCTGGAATCCAAGGCGTCTGCGACACATTTGGATCGTTCAAATAAGGGTTTACTTGAGGGATCGTGGTAGAATGATCGAGAGAAAGTTTGCCAGTTTCTTTCTTTATATTTAAATAATCTTTGAGCTTCATACCCGAAGAAGTTTCTTCTTGGGGCACTGAAGTTTCTGTCTTTTTGTAGGTTTTCATCATCTGTTCTCTCTCTTCATCTTGTACTTTACAAGTTCCTTTGACTCTTTGCAACAATTTTGAAACATTCATTTCCAACTTTTTGTAAAATTCTAAACCTTTACTGGATTTTGCCATAAGATCCTCATAGGCATCATAAGAAGATATGAGAGATGCTATAATTGAACTTCTTTTTCTGAATGATTCTCCTGTATTCTTTCGAGTAGACCCGTAACGAGCATAGGTCTCTTTAAAAGCTTTTAAAATATTTTCTTGAGCAGATAAATTTTTTTCAATTAAATTTGTATACTTGTTGTATTTTTTAAGTTCTTCCTCGAATAATTCCTCTATTTTATCTCCTGTGTACGTAATAACTTGCCTTGTAATGTCATCTGCACAAACCAAATCTCTTAACTGACTTGCTAATACTAATCTTTGTTCTTTCATTTCATCAATTTTCGACATAAGATGTTGCATCTCTTTGGAAATAGCTTCAACTTCTGGATCTACAAAAAAAAAAAGTATACAAATAACATTTTTAAAAACATGAAATGCACTTAGAAAAAAAATTAGTACATACAAAATAATTTCGAATAAAGATTTTTTTTCTTTATGCAAATTTTAAAATCAAAATACTTAACATTTAAAATTATTATTTGAATTATGGCAAATAACTCGAAAAGTTTCCTCAGTAAACTTAATGAGTCTTTTGTCACACATAACATTATAAAACAAAATTATTTTACCTTCAGATATTGATGGTATATGATTCATTAACTCCTTCAGAGGAAGGGATAACAGTTTTAAATTAGGAATGTGCATAACCATAGCCTTATGAAGAGTTTGATTAGATTCAGAAGCTTTAGCATGAGCTTCTTGGTACTTTTTAGATTCTCTTGTTAAATCTGTGGCAGCAATAGAGGGTGGTCTTTTTCCTAACATCATTTGATATTCTTGTTCGTGTTTTTCTTCTCTTTCAAGTAATTCTTTTATTTCTGCTAGCATCGAACCCACATCTTGATAAACATCAGAAAGTTTGCCCATAGCATCAGTAAGATTTTGAATAGTATCTGGTCTTGCACTTAATGCAGCACACTTGTCGATCAGATCTTGGGGAAGTTTGTTTCCATCTAGTTTTGAAGTTATTTCATTTAAATCTAACATTGATAAAAATGTTTCAAGCTCTTCATTTTTGGTCTCAATTAAACCATTTATTTTTCTTAGTAATTTAGCTTTTTCTTCACTATACATTGAAGCATATTCGTGAGCTTGCATCGGAACAATACTGCTGAACAAATCCGGACCACAAACCTCTGGATCGTTAATACTGAAGGGTATTCCTTTTACTAGAGATGCACCTTTTATAATAGGTAAATGAGATAAATTGGGTACAGTTTCATGATAAATAAATTCATTTTCACTTTTAGCAACTTTTCTTTTGGCTTCGATAACATCTTGTAAAAAATTCAAGGCTTCCACAACATTTTCAGTGTTGTCCATTCCAGAATATAATTTTCTAGCTTCTTCAAGTTTGCCAAAGGCAGCTTGATAAAATGTCACCCTTTCTCCCATTTTCTGTTGGTCTTCTGATTGCTGACCTTGAAATAAAAGTGAAATACTTTCATAGTATGCAATTTTAAATAAAACATATTTGTTCCAATTTTTATAAATTTTTAAATTTGTGATTTCTGATGGAGAATCTTCACTAAGTGGCCATTCAGTGAGAAGACCCAAACTTTGCTTATAATAATCCACAACTTGAATTCCTACTTTTGCTGTGATTGCTGACTTTCTGTTATCCATAATACTTTTCTCAAGAATACATTCCTGAGCTTGGGCCAAACATAAGTGACACAAAAAAGACATTAATACTGGAGACAGTCCAATTGCTCTTGAAACTAAAGAATATTCTTCATTGATATGTTGAAAAGCCCAAGCTGCACATTGAAAATGAGTGCAAGACATTTTCATTCCCTCAGCTGAAGTTCGGTTATCTGAAGCACCCAACTGAGAATGTAATGCTCCAATATTGTATAAAATTGATGCCATTTCTAATGATATATCATTCATAGTTATTTTCGAATTAGAATGAAGTGATTTCCATGAAAAAGATACTGCTGCAGGCTCATGTTCTTTCATTGGAAATCGACTAGCCATTAAATGAAGTTGACAATAATAGCGTTTCATGGTAGAACAACTACTGATGGATTTGCCAGGTGTGATAGCTTCCTTACGTAATGAATCAATGCTTGTGATTGCTGATGCATACAAAACTGGATCTTCATTATAATGATTTATTATGTACTGAAACAAATATTTTAAGATTATAAATTGACTGAATAACAAAAAATGCTCAAATAAATTTAAATAGTATATTATAAAAAAAGAAGAAAACCTGTTTTATTTTAGTTGAAAAATCAACTTTTTCAGTGCTGCTACGAAGTTCAAAACTTAACATAGGAAGCCTTGGAATAGCTTCCATTTTTTTTTTTTTTTATCAGCAAAAAATTAATTTATAAGAAATTAATATCTATATTTTAATAAAAACACAAATTTTGCCGATAAATCAAATTCTCGTACAATAAACAAAAGTAATAATTTGAATACACACACAAAAAAAAAAATTAAAATTATTATCTTTTTGTTTTAAATTTTAAGTTTTATGTTTCTCAAATGACAACAAAATCGAAGAGTCATTAATAAATTGAATAAATAAAATAACAAATTAATCTATAACTACAAATCACGGTATCATAAGCATTTGTCGATAAGTTCATTTGATATTTATTTTTAGAATCGTGACTAGTACTTATCTAAAAAAATAAATATTAGTAATTAATGTCGACCCAAACGTACTACAGAATAATAAATTTAAAAAAATTAATAACTTTCAAGAGTCAGAATTCGAAATAATGCACCAGAAATAGTTACTAATAAGTTATAAAAAAAAATGGGGCTGGAAAATAGGTAAAATAAAGTCTAAAGTAAGTTCCTAATAAGTGTGATATTTAAAAATATATATTTAATATTTCTTTAAAATGGTATATTTACAATATAAACTATTTTGTTGTCTATGATTATAAAATTCGTAACCCTAATTAAAATTTTATTTCAAAAATTAAATAATGCTGTAAAATACCATAGTTAAAACTTATATCACAATATTAAAATTTTTAAAACAAAAAAATCTTATTTTTATGCAACAATTTTGTTGAAAATTGAAAAACATAAAATTTACTTTATTCAACAATTACGTCGGAAGTCATACTTGTTTTACACCGAAAAAAATAAATCGTACCAACTTTTAAAAAATAAATTTTATATTGTCTCACTGATTCAGATAAAGATGTGTTGGAAGTGTTCTGATGACGTTCGTGAACGGACTGTGTACGTGGTCGAGTTAAATTTATGTTTTTTTTATAAATTTATTTATTTCTTCAATTGAACACATTCAGTCTATATCATTTGAAATACTATCCTCGAAATGGTAAATTTAATTATACATTTTTTGTGTTAAATTAGTTTTTTTTTTTTGTATTTAACATTAGTTTTTAATTATTATTATTATTAACGTACGACGGTTTACTTAACCCAAAAATTTTTTTTTTTTATATATTCATTGTTATGTGAATTAAATTTTTTTTCTTTTTAGCCAGCTTCTCCTAGTTCTACAAGTGTAGGCTCTGCTGGAAGAAGTCCTGCCAAGGCTACTGCTCCTAGATCAATTTCTGGAAGTTCTATCAGGCAAAGAAAATCCACTACATCTACTGCATCATCCAGAAGTAGAAATGCAGGTGCTAACAGTGGTGGAATGTGGCGATTTTACACTGATGATTCTCCAGGAATCAAAGTGTAAGTTTATTTTTATATTTATATTATACATTTGTTAAAGAATGTTGTTGAACATATGGGAATTATTTCCCTTTATTATCGCTTTTAATTAGAGTTAAAAAAATATTCTATCATCAATCAATAATTAATTTGTTTTTTTTTTTAGGGGTCCAGTTCCAGTTTTAGTGATGTCATTATTGTTTATCGCTTCAGTTTTTATGCTTCACATTTGGGGAAAATATACCAGATCATAACGGAACATTCCATTTTTGTGCACAAAAAAAAAAAAAAAAAACTTTTCACATAATTTATAAATACAATATTGCAATTAATAATGAAATGATATCAGAAATTTTAAATCCATTATTATTATTATTACATTTTATACTCTATACTGTAAAAATATATATGAATATAAAATAAAATAAACCTACAAATGGTGGTCATTTAATAATAATAAATTTAGCCGACAAATGTAATTTTTTTTTTTTTAAATTCATAATTAAATACTCTTAATAATAATAATAATTTGATATTAAAAAAATATAAGTCAAATTTGAAATGTTGAAATTATTTAAATTTAAAATGATTATAGTATAAAATGGATTTATATCAAAAATTTTTTCAATAAACCAACAAATAATTTTGTAAATCATAATAAAATAAAAAAATTAAATATTCCAATGTAATAATATCAGGAAAATACATTACCAAATATTATAATTATATGTAAAATTAAATTTTTCAAAAATAATAAAAATAAAAATAAAATTTGACAAAAAAAAAGTTTTTACATTTACATTACATAAAGTGGGAACGTGGGGGGTGGAAGGGGGGGGGGGTTAAAACAAACAAAAAGGAAATCGGTTGTGTCTTTAATAAAACCATTAAATATTTATATATATGTATATATATATATAAGTATACATAATAATCAAAATAAATATACAAGTTAAACTTCATAATGTAACATTTTCGGGTAAAATTAATGCACATCATAATAATAATAATAATAAATTTACAATTATTATTTTTTTGTTAAAAAAATAAAAAGATTTTTTAGAGCTGCGAATTTAAATTTTTTTTTTTTTTACTTTTTTTTTTTTTTTTTTTTAAACGTCATTTATAAAAAATATTATTAGAATCAGTTGACTAAATCTATAAAAAACGATAGTTATAATTTTTAAAAATAAATTGTATTCGTTTTCATCATTTATTATTTACATTTATTTTACATACATACGTACAACAACAACAATACATACATACATACATACATACGTACAGATTTTACATGAATTCTCACGCACGTACATAATAATAACATTGAGGACATTTTTTTTTTTTTCGCCGTATTTTCTTATTTATTTATTTATAAACTAATCATTTTAAAATACATTTTATGCTTGGTAAATATATATATATATATTTATGGATAGGAAGAACAGGTAGGGAAGCTAAATCTCTCCTCCTTATTTTTTAAGAGAAAAAATACAAATTAATAATAATAATAATAAAAAAAGTATTTTTTTCCCTTAAGCTTCCTTACCGTATAAACTTTTTATTTATTTATTTATTTATTTACAAAATCATATACATGCTTTGGTTATTTTTTTTCGTTTTTTTTTTTTTTGTTTTAATTCGAGCACTTTTCCTTAATTTCTTTTTATTTATTTATTTAATTATTTGCAACGTTTTATTATATTTGAGGTATATTTAAATTATAAAACATAATTTAATTAATTAAACAAAAATTTATAAATTTTTATTTATTTTTAAATTAATATTGTTTATTATAATAATAATAATTGATTCATTTATTAATTTTATTGAAAAATTAAAACGTTGCAACTGAATTTTATTAAATTTAAATTTAAATTTAAATACAAAAAAAAAAAAAAAATGAAATAATAACTAAAATTAATGTTTTTTTTTTTTTCTCTTTCTCTTTCTCTTTCTCTCTCTCTCTATCTTTTTCTCTTTTTTTTTTTACAAAAGGACTGATTTGATTTGTACTTAAACATCACAAAAAAATACAGACTTTAAAAAATTAAATAGAAAAAAAAAAAAAAAGCAAGACAGAAAAATCCATTATTTTAAATAATAATAATAATAAAAAAATGGTAGTAATAATAATAATAATAATAATAGTGATCGATAATTGAAAAATAAATTCTTGAATTTCGCATAAATTAAATTCCGATTATTTCAATAAAAACAGTAATAATAATAATAATAATAATAATAATAATAATAAATTATTTTATATAAATGCAAAGCAATTATAATAAAAGTTCATTGAAATGAAAATAAACAAAATTTTCCCCTTTTTCTTTCTTTCATTTTCTTTTTAATAAATATAACATTATCATTATTATTATTATAATTATTTTTTATCAATTTCATTAATTTTTTTAATTATATAATTAATTTTTTTGTCTCCATATTTCAATATAAACAATTTATGCGAAAATCAAAAACCTTTTGTAGATTGGAAAATTGAAAAAGATAAAAAAAATAGTAATAATAATAATAATAATAGTCAGCCCGATCCCAGCCATTTTCTCTCTCTCTCTTTTGTAAAGAACACATTCACAATTTTTTTTTTAGTAGAGTATTAATTATTTACATTAATAATTTTTTTGAAAAAAAAAAAAAAAAATGTCAACCGAATTCTAAAAAAATTAAAACATAAAACATAATAATAATATCGTTAAGTAAACAACCAATCGTAATAAAAAACATAAAACAATAAAAAAAAAATTGAAATTTAAAGTCAGCATAACATAATTTTATAAAAAAAAAAAAAATAACGGATTTAAAAAACAAAAAACGTTTTAAAATATATAAACAATCGATTATAAAATAATAACAAAACAATTAACAAATTAAAAAAATTTAAATTTAAATTTAAATTTAATTATGCTGACTTAAAAAAAAAAAAAAATTACCTGAATTTAATTTTAATTTTTTCTTTCTTTCTTTTGCCAAAAATTAAACCGAAAAAAAAAAAAGAAAAACCTGAAGATGGCAATAATTTTTCCTTTTTTTTCCTTTTTTCCATTTTCCATTTTACCCTCTTGTTATTTAAACATAATAATAATTAATAACATTTTATCTAATTAAAATTTAAACAAATGAGTAAAAAAAAAAAAAAATCGTTCAAATATATTTCATCATTATTATTATTATTAAAATTGTGTTTTTTTTAAAATTATTATTATTATTATTTGAGCAATTTAAATATTAAAATGGTTACAAAAAAAAAAAAATATATATATATATATATATTGCAATCCCAGTTTCTTTTTGTTTTTATTTTTTTATTTTATTATATTATTAAAAAAAAAAAAATAACGAAAAAGGCAAATTTAAAAAAAATCAGTATTATTATTATTATTATTATTATTATTATTATTATTATTATTATTATTATTATTATTATTATTATTATTATTATTATTATTATTATTATTTTCGAAGGTTCTCTACACGTTTTCTAAAATCAAATCCTTTGTGTAAACAAATCATGGACGGTGACATTTTAATTGACCTTTTTAATATTTTATTTTATTTTATTTTTTTTTATATATATACAAATAAAATTTCATAATATATATATATTTATTGGAATCGGGGAGTTTTGTTTTTTTTTTTTGTGGGGGGGAGGGCGAGGGGAGGGAAGGGGAGGGGGGAGATACGCAAAAAACAAAAAAACAAGTCTTTTGCCCATCAGTCTTGCATATGCAAAATAATAATAATAAAAACAAAAAAAAAAAAAAATGAAATGAAATGAATTACAAAAAAATTTTTTTATGATAAGCAATTACATAATAATAATTAATAATAATAATAATAATAATAATAAAACATTAATGAAGTGTTATTTAAAATGAAATTTTAACGAGTGTTTTTCCTTTTTTTTTTTTTTTTGTTTCTTTTAAAAATATAATTTTTTTTTTTTT